GGGGGGGGGGGGGGGTGATTTTTTTATATCAAGCAAGAGACCAAGCACATTTTCTAAAAGTGAAATCTAACATAATCAACTCAGTATTACTAATGGGAATAGAGAGATATTGCTGAATGAGTTAGATGAAATATGAAATTTTAACTATGATCCCATAAATAAATATATGAAGCCAGAGAAAATTTTGGAAATTTGTTTCTTGTCAGAAATATGTAGGAAATTTTACTTTTTATTTTATCGATGAAGAATTTGTGTAAAATTTGAATAATATCCTATTTTGATTTTTTTTTTTTATCCCCTTAACTCATTAATTCAACCCTGAAGATTCATTTGAACCCTTCCAATTCAAAGGTTGGAATAGTTCATTATGAAACTTCGGGGGTTAATGAGCTATAAACTAATGTATTCAAAATTAACATGTTGTTTTACACTCTATTTTAGGAATAACCTGCACATTGTGTTGTGTATGAGTCCTGTGGGGAATGCGTTCCGTACGCGTTGTCGAATGTTCCCGTCCCTCGTAAACTGTTGCACCATTGATTGGTTCACTGAGTGGCCGAGGGAGGCTCTGCTGGGTGTGTCCAAGTCCTTCTTTGAAAATGTTGACCTTGGCAAGGATGAACTCAAGGTTGGTATCATAAATATTCTCGATTGTAAACCCTTTAAAAAATGTCATTCATAATTCATAATAAGGACAAATTGTTTTTGATTAAATTCAATGGCTTTCCTTAACTCAATCACCCCTGAAGACACATTTGAACTCCTCCTATTCAAAGGTTGGAATAGCTCATTATGAAATTTCAGGGGTGAGTGAATTAATTTCCTTCACATGAGTAAATCTGTAATGGTTTGAATTTTGCACAAATATGTGGGTTGTTCATGGTTGGTATTACGTGGCTGTCGGTACATATTAATTTATACATACTTACTTTTTAAAGAGTACATTTAGTAATATAACATAAGTATAATCACAAATGTTTAGTAGCTTTGACTTCAGCTTTTTCATTAACTCATTCACCCCTGAAGTTTCATAATGAACTATTCCAACACCAATATCTAAATGAATGTATTCTGTCAATAGAATTCAAGTCAAATTTAAGGCTAAACAATAAATATTAAATAAGAAAATACCCAGTTTTTCCATTTATGAATGGCAAATCAAAGCAGTGGATAATATTTTTTTTCAAAGTTTTAATGATGTTATGTGAACATGATCAGGTTAAAATACAAAACTTATCTGACCGTCGTTATTAGGTTAAAATCTTTCACATTTGGTGATTTGTCTGTATGTTGTTTACCTTAGACGTCCATCGCTGAGATGTGTGTGGAAATTCATACGAGTGTCAGCACTATGGCTGAGCGGTTTTACGCCCAGTTGAAGCGACGTTACTACACCACGCCCACCAGCTACTTGGAGCTCATCAACCTTTACCTCAGCATGCTGGGCGAAAAAGCAAAGTATGTTGTCCATCTCTGTCGAGGAAAATACTGTAAATTGTGAAAATTTTGCAGTTTAACTTCCACTTTTTGCCCTCCTTAACTCATTCACCCCAGAAACTTCATAATGAACTATTCCAACCTTTGATTGGAAGAGTTCAAATGTGTCTTCAGGGGTGAATGAGTTAAAGACAGCAAATTTATCATGACAGCGAGTATGAGTACCCAGCAGATCGTTTGTAAAACCAAATATGAAATACGAATTAACGCGGGACAAATATTGATTTTACTAGTGACAGGGAAAATATTTAAATGGAAGAAAGTTTTTTGGTTTACAGGTGCTTGTCAAACTCCAGTCTTAAAATCATACCCAATCATTAAAATAACAAAAGACTTGTCCTAATCAGCAACCTTCGAAGGAACACTGGAAAATATGTCACAGAAAATAAGACATTTGGTTGCTAAAAACAGGTTCCTCGAATGCCCAGACTATGTCAACACTGAACATATCTAAATTGTTATAAAAAGACTATCATTTATTACACATGTAAAAGTTTGGCTTATCTTATTCTTTTACTGAACTTAGCAAAATAAATTTATATATCGAATGGGTTTGAGATTTCAATTACCAATGAAGCTGCACCTGTGTTCACTGTCAAGATGACAACTAATTATTGTTGTGTAGGGTGGCTTTCAGAATTGTTTTAACTAACATTTTGTGTTTGTTTGATCCAGGTCGCTGAGGAATGCTCGAGATCGTGTCCAAAACGGTCTCCTCAAGCTCCTAGAGACAAACGATCTGGTTGACAACATGAAGAAGGAGCTGGTGGCCCTCGAGCCAGAGCTGAAGAAGAAGTCGCTCGACACAAACAACTTGATGGAGCGTCTAGTGGTGGACCAGGAGTCTGCGGACAAGGTAACGCTGTCGTAATTTTAGGCTGAACATCCAGAGATTGAATAGAACCTACAAAAAAAATACCCAACCACCCATGAAAAAACAATGCCCTAAGTGCTTTCGCAGATTTATAAATACATTGTAATTCACATACTTTCATTCTATGCTTCAATAGATTATAAAAAATGAGAACACTCCCTTTATGGTATTTAAATTAGATTGAATTGGTCAAATCTGTTGTTAGGTGCGTAAAGTTGTCATGGAAGATGAGGCCACAGCCAAGGCTAAAGCTGAGGAGACCCAGGCCATCGCAGACGACGCCCAGAGAGATTTGGACCAAGCCCTTCCCGCCCTAGAGGCTTCCGTAAAGGTCAGAGGTCACCTTTGTAATCATTATGTTTATAGATATACCATCTATACTTTAGTACCCTCCTGTCATTTTGACGGTATATACAGTAGTATGAACGCAGTTGGCACTAAACATATTCTATGGTGCATGTAAGCTAATTTATCTGCAGTCAGAGTTTGCTGAGCTGACGAAGGGAGAGATGTAATTATATGTCCATATTTGTACACATTAGTATAGCTGTGATTCCTGTTAACTTGCTGAGCTGAAGAAGGGAGAGATGTAAATATAATATCCATATTTGTACACATTAGTATAGCTGTAATTCCTGTTAACTTGCTGAGCTGACGAAGGGAGAGATGTAATTATAATGTCTGTATTTGTACACATTAGTATAGCTGTAATTCCTGTTAACTTGCTGAGCTGACGAAGGGAGAGATGTAATTATATGTCCATATTTGTACACATTAGTATAGCTGTAATTCCTGTTAACTTGCTGAGCTGACGAAGGGAGAGATGTAAATATAATGTCTATATTTGTACACATTAGTATAGCTGTAATTCCTGTTAACTTGCTGCTGCAGGCTCTGGATTCCCTCGACAAGAATGACATTTCTGAGATCCGTGTCTTCTCTAAACCCCCTGAGTTGGTGCAGACGGTGATGGAGGCTGTTTGTATCCTGATGGGAGCAAAGTAAGTACCTCAACAATAGTTGTTTATTTACATTATTTACACTATTTACACTATTTACATTATTTACACTATTTACACTATTTACACTATTTACATTATTTACAAGCAGATTTTGTCAACTGGTTAACATTTCCACCTTCCAAGATGGCTGCGGTTTACTCAGCAATTTATTTTCAAGAAAATATTTTTCTTCTGTCCACACAACTTCAATAACTGAGGTAGACTGCAAAATTGTCTGGGGAGGCCACTACAGTGACATTGCCGTAACATTCAAGATATGTGGCAGTCTATGAAAGAAATAGAAGATATTTAATGGTGTCTTCAGTAATAACAAATATATTTTACGAGTGTGGCTAATATTTCGACATTTTTCGCACAAGTGAAAATTATCAAAATATTAGCCACACGAGTAAAACATATTTGTTATAACTGAAGACGCCATTACATTTTCTATTTATTAAATTTTTAAAGCATAAAACATGAAAAATGTAATGCATTAAAAAGGGTGGGAATCAGAAGCATAATAATTAGCGCCATATTCTAATGATGTCACGCTTGACAACAAGGCTGTGCGCCATTTTGAATGGGATACTCAACGCAATTCTGACGTTTTCTGCTATTTTCTGGTATGATTGCTTATAAAAATGTTATTAATTGTATATTTATGGAAATACTTAAGTGTATGTACCAAACATTTACCAAAACAACCACTTATTCTACCATCGCCTCATTTGAATTTGAACAAAACCTTGTTGCCTTTGAATGCAACGAATAGAAGATACCGTTATGATTGGTCAATACCAAAAAGTAATATAATTTTTGATATTTGCACAGTGTGAAAGATAGCAGTTTTATTAAGTTGATAGAATCAGATATTTCACTGGCAAAAATATAATAAAAAGATATCATTGGAAGCATGGCCCCAACACAAAATAGAATTCCAATACTTCTCCAGCACACATACTGGCATGCACACAGTTCGAGGTATTAGCAAGGTGGCTTAGGACCTGTTACTTAAATTGACTGCATTCATTTATTGTATAAATTGTATAGTTATGTATTGTAAACACTCATAGGTGTCAACCTCTGAAACCTTCCATGAGTGAGTGTCCCTCCTAATGAGGGAGGGTTGACACCTACAAACACGGTAGAGTAATTATTCTAGTTTGACGAAACGCTTTATCAAATGGTATATAATTATGGTAAGAGAATTAAATTGTGATATTGTAAGTATTTTCGATTTATCTACAGGACAGACTGGGCAGCAGCCAAATCCGTGTTGGGCGACTCAAACTTCCTAAAAAACATGTTGAACTATGATAAAGACAGCATCTCGGAGTCAACCATTAGGAAACTGAAGAAATATGTCGAGAACCCGAAATTTGTCCCAGAAACTGTGGAGAAAGTGTCAAAGGTAACAGAGGCCACTAAAACAGGCCACTATTATAAACTTGGAATTTAAAAAACAAAATTAACGTCCCAACTAACTAATCACATCTATGTTTGTGGGGAGTCACTTCCCTTTTCTGAATCCGTTTATAAATTTAGTCCAAAAGGAATGCTATACTCGTCTTTATTATCAGTACATGTATAAGGAAACTAACTTGTTACACGAAATGAAAAACATATCTGACTTAATTATATATATATGTAAGACAGTATTTATTAATTAGCCTGTGGCTTGCATTTCTATAGATACCATGCATGGACAAAAAATTTGAATGTTACACTTTGGTGAAAAATGTCCTAATATATATTACCTGGTATGAATGAGAAAAAGAAACAAAATGACTTTCATTGTTTGTTTGACCTTGAACTCTGATTGGCTCTCTTGTAGGCTTGTAAATCTATGTGTATGTGGGTGCTAGCCATGGATTGCTATTCCAAAGTGTTTAAGACTGTGGAGCCAAAAAGACAAAAGTAAGTAATATATTAACCCTGTCACCACTTTAGACCATAATGGACTCATACATTAATGCATGTAAAGTCTATGAAAGTTACATAGGGATGAAAGGGATAATGGGCATAATTTAGTTTTTCATCCCCAGAATACGTCTACTGGATTTTAATATTTTTTGTCTCATGAAAATATTTAGAATTTTGTTAAAGATTTTTCAAGTTTGTGGTCACGGAAGCACCAAAAGAAGGGAAAGTTAAAATGATGGTGTTTAGAATGTCCCTATTTATTTCAATGAAAAAATAATCATTTGTGTTTAGAGTCTGGAAGAGTCACAACAGAAACTGAGGGTCTTATGATAGCCACTAACAAAACCAATGCAATGTTTTTTATGCAGACTTGCAGCAGCTGAATCAGAACTTCAGACTGTCATGTCCTTGTTGAAAGAAAAACAGGACCAATTGGCTGCTGTGGAGGCAAAGATTGCAGAGCTGCAGAAGATCTACGATGAAAGCGTCTCAGAGAAACAGAAACTGGAGCGCAATATCGCTCAGACAGCGTCCCGTCTCAAACGAGCTGCCAAGCTGACGACAGCTTTGGGTGACGAGCAAGTGAGGTGGGATGAAACTGTCAAGGTGAGTCGTCCATTTGGTCGTGTCTGTAACGACTGTTCCTGTCCACCTGGGGTGTTATATTAGCAAATGAATCATAAAACATGAATTATCAGAAAATATTTTTAGCCACCAAATGTGCTATATAACCCCCTAACCAGGGTAAGACACTAACCTGTTTTGCGAGGTAGTCCACAGGACTAGTTGAATAGATTATTTCCTAATACTTTGTCAATATAACTAGTCCAAGATTTCCTGATAAGGAAACATCGCGATCTACAGCACAAAACATCAAACGTAATCGACTGTAAGGGACTAAGAGTAACTATACTGCCATAAAAAAATGGTGAAGTTTTAGGAACATTTGGACAATTATCATGCAATATATCTTATTTTAAACAGTTTTCTAAATTTTAAAAAGGAACATTCATATTTTATAATCATATTTTTCACACGTCCAAAAGACCAGTTAGGTTAGGTGATTCACTAGTCTACTAGTCCAGGACTATTGTTGGTGTCGACCCCAGCTTACCAGGTCATGGGTAGCAGTACTAGTGTACAGTATAGGGAACTGTGATGGGGAGTCATTTTGTTTCAAACTTTGTTTATTAACTGACATTAAATTGATAGAAAATTAAAAGTCAATTACAAAGTGCCTATAGGGAACACAATAAAATAAATATTAAAGCAGTCATTCTTGATCCTAAATTTATTTCTTACTTTTTTTCCCATACAGGTTGGAAAATTTGAAAACAACTGTGTTGCACTTTCTGATTATCCTATATCTCCGTATGAAATTCAGGGGGAAAAAAGGGAAACATTTCAAATTGACTGACCTTGTGTTGACGAATTGTTGTTTTGTTCTTTGACAGGAATTTAATAAACAGATAGGTAATGTTGTTGGAGACGTGTTTGTGTCCGCGGCTTGTGTGGCGTACTACGGGGCGTTTACAGCGACATACCGACAGGAACTGGTGACCGGCTGGACGGAGCGCTGTCAGGAGATGGAGATCCCAGTCACTTCTGGAATGACCATCATTTCCATTCTTGCTGATCCCTTCGAGATCCGACAGTGGAACATGGACGGTCTACCAAAGGATCAACTGTCTACAGAGAACGCCATCTTGGTGACCCGCGGCCGACGCTGGCCCCTCATGATAGATCCGCAGGAACAGGTATAGACCGCAATGGAGTGTGTGATGTTACGAACAATACATTTTATGTAGGAAAGATAAGTCCTGTTTTTTCTGTGATTGTATGTTATCATTTATCATTGGTTAAGAAATCCAAAACTTTTTAAAAATAGTTTATGTCACAGAGATACACTGTTAAAAAGAAAACTCATATTTTGCTGTATTTAAGTTTTAACTTTAACTCATTCTTCCCTGAAGACACATTTGAACTCTTCCAATTCAAAGGTTGGAATAGTTCATTATGAAACTTTAGGGGTGAATGAGTTAATATGGTCCCCCTCACTTGAAATTGATATATCACATTTCAACCTGTATTTGGTCAGTACATGAACAGGTTTTTACCATATTTGACCACAACCAAGCCCCCACTCACTTAGCCCCCTCCCCACTTTGACAAATGTCCTGGGAACAGGATGGGTGCCAGCAATTAAACCTCCCACCCAAATTTTCTCTCTCTCTCTCTCAGAAATAAAAAAATGTATGCTAATTTTTGTGTCTGAACATAAGCAAATTAGCCAACTGGATGCAAAACTGTTAAACAGAAACATGTAAAACAGTTTAGCAAATTCGACTACAAAATATTCATGCATGCTGATTGTGCTTCAGGCTAACCGCTGGATTAGGAACAAGGAAGCTAAGAATGGCCTGAAGTTTATCAAGCTGACCGACGCTAATTTCCTACGGACACTGGAGAACTGTATACGTATTGGTATGCCAGTCCTGTGTGAGGATCTGGGCGAGACACTGGACCCCGCGCTGGAGCCTGTTCTCCTCAAACAGACCTTTATGTCGGTGAGTCTCATAGAACAAGTGTAAGGTCCAAGTGTCTTGAATATTACGTGCAAGCTTTTTATGCCCCCGCCATAAAATGGGGGGCATAAAGTGTTTCCCATGTCTGTCGCGTCCTGTCCCATCCCGTCCCATCCCGTCCCATCCATGAGCGGGGGCATTTGTCTTACAGACATTGTCTAGTTTATTAAAATGGGGAAACTGACGATAGTCAACAAAAATCCTAAAACAAAAAATTTCATGAAATCAAAGCCAAGACAATAATAGTTTTGTTAAGTAAAAGCATTTTTTAAAACACTCTATGGTAGAGAATATCAAATGCAACGGAATCATCGGTACAAAGGTGTTCATATTTAAAATTTGTGATGAAATAATATTACTTTTGATATAATGTAAATAACTATTGAGATATTGATTTTCACATTGAACTTTGAAGATTAACAACACTGACCATTACATGTAATACAACACAGACCATTACATGTAATACAACACTGACCATTACATGAAATACAACACTGACCATTACATAAATTACAACACTGACCATTACATGACTGTTGTAGGGTGGACGTTTGCTGATCCGTCTGGGTGACAGCGATATTGACTACGATCGTAACTTCCGTTTCTACATGACGTCTAAGATGACCAACCCCCATTACCTCCCTGAAGTTTGCATCAAAGTGACCATCATCAACTTCACTGTGACCAAACAAGGGTTGGAGGACCAGTTACTAGGGTAAGTCACACTGGGTAGTACCATCTGTCTGTCTGTACGTCTGACAGTGTAGTTACTAGGGTAAGTCCCGCTGGGTAGTACCATCTGTCTATCTGTATGTCTGACAGTGGAGTTACTAGGTTAAGTCACACTAGGTAGTACCATCTGTCTGTCTGTATGTCTCACAGTGTAGCAACTAGGGTAGGTCACACTAGGTAGTACTATCTGTCTGTCTGTATGTCTGACAGTGTAGTTCCTAGGGTAAGTCACACTGGGTAGTACCATCTGTCTGTCTGTATGTCTGACAGGGTAGTTACTAGGGTAAGTCACACTAGGTAGTACCATCTGTCTGTCTGTATGTCTCACAGTGTAGCAACTAGGGTAGGTCACACTAGGTAGTACTATCTGTCTGTCTGTATGTCTGACAGTGTAGTTCCTAGGGTAAGTCACACTGGGTAGTACCATCTGTCTGTCTCTATGTCTGACAGTGTAGTTACTAGGGTAAGTTAAGCTGGGTAGTACCATCTGTCTATCTGTATGTCTGACAGTGGAGTTACTAGGTTAAGTCACACTAGGTAGTACCATCTGTCTGTCTGTATATCTGACAGTGTAGTTACTAGGGTAGGTCACACTAGGTAGTACTATCTGTCTGTCTGTATGTCTGACAGTGTAGTTGCTAGGGTAGGTCACACTAGTTAGTACTATCTGTCTGTCTGTATATCTGACAGTGTAGTTACTAGGGTAGGTCACACTAGGAAGTACCATCTGTCTGTCTGTATGTCTCACAGTGTAGCAACTAGGGTAGGTCACACTAGGTAGTACTATCTGTCTGTCTGTATGTCTGACAGTGTAGTTGCTAGGGTAGGTCACACTAGTTAGTACTATCTGTCTGTCTGTATGTCTGACAGTGTAGTTCCTAGGGTAAGTCACACTGGGTAGTACCATCCGTCTGTCTGTATGTCTGACAGTGTAGTTACTAGTGTAGGTCACACTAGGTAGTACCATCTGTCTGTCTGTATGTCTCACAGTGTACCATGTACAGTCGTTGACTTGGTATGAGGTCAATAGATTTATTGTTGAACTGACATAAATAATATTGACTTAAATGTAAAAAATATCATTGCAGAAGGGGATCCTTATGGTCAGTTGTTGTCCAAGAGGAAGTTTTTTGGACTTAAAACCAGCAAGAGGATTTTTTTTTATTAATTGTTTGCATGCAATAAAAACTGAGCTAATCAATTTAATGCCTGGTAAAATATAAAATTAAGTTCACAGGGAAACTTTCACCCCGTCAGATATTTGCCATTCAACGGTATAATCCAAAGACGCCCAGTGTCAATTACCCCCATCACATGTCCTTACCATATATGGTATGCTATTTATTGTATTCACTGTTTAGATAAGTTTGCCCTCATTATGGAAAGCAAAAAAAACCAGAGTTAAACTGCAGCAAAAAACTTCCCTGCATACAGGATATTGTTTTACTGGAGAAATGATCGAGATTATCTTAGTAATAATGGTCTTTGGTGATCTTTGGTTGTAGGGATGTGGTCGGCTTAGAGAGGCCAGACTTGGAGGAACAGAGAAATCAACTGATCATGAAAATCAACGCCGACAAGAACCAGCTGAAGGCCATTGAGGACAGGATTCTTAAGCTTCTGTTCGAATCAGAGGGCAACATCTTGGACAATGAGGAGCTTATCAACACACTTAACGAGTCCAAGGTAGGGGTCATAGGTCACAAAGAAGTTGTTGAGTTACAATGAAGTGGGGGTGAGTGGTCATAAGGAACTCATCAATATGGAGAAATTAAAGGTCAGGTCGGCTGTCACTAAGGACTCAAGGGTTAAAGGGTTTCTAAGGAGTCGGGGTTAAGGGGTCACCAATAGGTCAGGGGTCACCAAGAGGTCAGGGCTCAATAAGAAGTTACAAATTTGGGATACATCAGGAGCACATGAATACATAATTTGTAGGTGATCATCAGGCAACATAGTGCAAGTTAGGAGGTCAGAGGTCACCAATAGTTCAGGGGTCACCAAGGAGTTCAGGAGACGTGAAGGTGTCAGAGTAAAGGATTCACTATTGAAGGACATCTGGGTTTGGGGGTCCCAAAGGAGCTGTAGGTCACGAAAGGTCTGAATCATGTATCGATGGAAAAGGCAAAAGTAAAATGTGTTTAATTGACATTTAGGGGAGTAAAGACATCATTTATCATTAGTATGCCTGTAGGAATTTCTCATTTTAGAGATAGGCATTGACATATAACCTTTGACCTTTGCCAGGCATTGACACATATATATATATAACCTTTGAACTTTCCCAGGTGACCTCAGGCGTGATAAAGCAGCGTCTTGCTGAGGCAGAGGTGACAGAGGAGAAAATAAACACAGCTCGTGAGAAGTATATCCCAGTGGCGGCGCGTGGCTCCGTCATGTACTTTGTCGTGGCCGACATGGGCGAGGTCGACCCAATGTATCAGTTCTCACTGAAGTACTTCAAACAGGTAACCACAGCCAACAACTAACAATTTCAATGTGCTGTACACTTTATGTGTGGAAATGAACCACTTTATATAAACTTAGATTGTTGTACTTTTTATAAATAATGCTTTAATTGAGACATATTTATAACTGATAAACATACAAGAAGATACAAGATACAGAAGAATTTATTTACCGTAGGTTACGTAAAAATCGGACAACATAAGCTTCGACAAAACATAGGAAGATAAAACATAAAAAACAGCTATTGGAATGAAAACATAAATACTATACATACATATGCATGCATCAATATAGCACCTGGAAGCCTTAAAACAGGCTTACATACATACATACATACATACATAAATGCATACATGCATACAGGCATACATGCCTACATACATACATACAGGCATCCAGGCATACATACATATATATATACATACATACATACATACATGCATACATGCATACATGCATACAGGCATACAGGCATACAGGCATACATGCATACATACATACATACATACATACATACATACATACATACATGCATACATGCATACATGCATACATGCATACAGGCATACAGGCTTACATACATACATACATACATACATACATACATACATACATACATACAAACATACAAACAAACAAACAAACAAAAGGGAAAGGTGTGAAAATAGCATAATCGGGCATCTCGAAAATGGTCACCATTGTTTCATAGGTTTAACTGTGAACAGCTGGTGTATGATAATTATGAAATGATATTAAGAGAAGTGACTGAAAAAACGTGTGATATAAAAAAAAAAAAGTTTATTAATAAAAAGTAAAATGGAACCTCAAATGTAATCCACTGCTGTTTTGTAGCTTTTCAACACTACCATCTCAATGAGTGAGAAGAGCCCCGACCTGCAGGCACGTCTGAGGATCTGTCTGAAAGAAACAACGAGTGCTATCTACAAAAACGTGGCCAGGTATGAACTGTTCTACAACCAACTACTGTCAATTTTCTGTCTGGCACAATTTAATCTAGAAAGTGGTGAAATATTTTAACACTTGTGCTAGTCGGTGTGAGATTTAATCTCACAGAATAAATCTAATAATAGTTTAAAAGACATCAGAATCCTGATGATAAATGTAGAACTGAGCTTACTACACTAAATTACTGTGAAATCTGCTTAATATCACTGAGCACTTGTCAAAGGAAAGCATGATATTAAGTGAACTGTCAGATCACATGTTTTTCTGATACTTTTAAGCTGTCAAAGCCTGAAAATAACCTTATTTAAATGTGTAAGTGATACGGTTCTAAGGTAGATATTTAAATGTGTAAGTGATATGGTTTTAAAGTAGATATGGTTCTAAAGTAGATATTTAAATGTGTAAGTGATATGGTTCTAAAGTAGATATTTAAATGTGTAAGTGATATGGTCCTAAGTAGATATGGTTCTTAAGTTGATATTTAAATGTGTAAGTGACATGGTTCTAAAGTAGATATTTAAATGTGTAAGTGATCTGGTTCTAAAGTAGATCTGGTTCTAAGTGATATGGTTCTAAAGTAGATTTTTAAATGTGTAAGTGAT